AAAATCTATTTTGAAGAATAACAGGGCTAATGAGACTCCTTGGCCAAGGACCTCTTTCTTTTATTTCATTGAATCATCTCGAGTGTGTTTGTGTCAAGATTTGTATCTACAATATTAGGGCAGATTGATATCGGAGATGTGATACGTGTGTGTGCTACAAATTAGTTTGAAATATTAGCATTCTGCTGTAACAATTTATTACCAGGTTCATGTGGGGGTCTTCAGACAAACTGGCGTGTTCTGTTATACGCTTTATTTTCAGCAAGAGTTGCAGATAACCATGTTATAAGTGTATTCTAAAAAAAAACATTTCGCTTTTAAATTATCCACAGCCAACATTTTAGTGCAAGGACCTAACACAATGTAATAATACTAATTTTAAATAAAATTTGGTTTCCATTACTTGTTGGGGAAAGACTGCAAATTTAGACATGTAATTGGCATATGGTCCATTTACAATGAGGGATCTTTTTCGTTACTGCTCATTCTTCGACAGGGGACCTCGGTTAACATGGAATCGTTCGAAAGGACCTGGTTTTTGTCACCCGCTTTCGCGAAAGCGAGGAGACATTAAATCTCATTCATTTGTCAGTTTCTCTGTCTGTCACAAAAACTTTAACCTTGGTTATAACTTTTAAAGAGAAAGATAGGGCTTCATATTTTACATGTATATTACTTGTAACAAGACTTTTCAAAATATACTTTGATTTTTGATCACGTCATGTTGATCTTGAAGTTTGACATACTTTTCAAAAATTTTAACATTCCTTTCATCTTGGTCATAAGTTTTGAACGAAAAGAGACAGGTCATTCATTTCACATGTGACAAGACCTTTTCAAATATATTCTGATTTTTGACCCCTTGATCTTGAAGTTTAACTTTTCTAATATGTTAACATTACTTTTATTTCGATCATAACTTTTGAATTAAAAGAGATAGGGATTTCACATATACATTTCTTGGACAAGACCTTTCCAAATACATGTACTTCAATTTATTTTTACTCCTTGACCCTGAAGTTTGACTTACTTTCAAGAATATTAACATTGTTTATAACTTGAATGACAGAAGATAGGACAGACAAATTTGACAAGTGCATTAATTGTGGTAAGAAATTTCTTAAAATACTCTGGTTTTTAACCTCGTGTCCTTGACCTTTAAGTGAAACATACAGTGTTTTTCATTTCTTTTAATGTTGGAATTAACTCTTGAATGGGAGAAATACGACTTTCATATTTAACATGTACATCACCTATGACAACACCATTCAGAACGGTATATCATTTGTGACTTTATGATTTTGATCTAGAAGTTTGAAGGACACACGAAAAAGACAGTTACAATTCGCCATCAATAATTGCATCCCACCTGTTGCAGACTTGTTTAAACCAATTTTTACAATTTATTCCTTATTTATACGAAAAAAAATCGTTTAAGTCTGCATAAACATGAAATTTTAGAATATTTGCACATTAAGCACACAAAATTATTTGCAACTGCCTTGTCCAAGGACGTAGCATCGTTTATGAAAGAGGGGGGAGCCAGAGAAAAAAATTTCAACTTTAATACCTGAAAAAAAAAAAATTGACAAGCCAAAAAAAAGGCAAATTGTCAGAACTCGAAAATCCTATTTCTCGGGGAAGGGGGGGGGGGTTAGGTTCCAACCTCTTTCAGTACCAAAATTTATTCATACACTACTACAAAAACCATTATTTTACTATTCTACAACAAAAAAGGGGGGGGGGGCAACCGGCCTTTCAATTAACATTTCAAATAGTAAAAAAAGTGTTTGTAAAAAAGGGGCACCCCCCCTCCCGTTGCTACGTACCTGTTGTAAAACATATAACATTAGGTATAATGCTTCCAATCCTCTTATCACCCACAAACACAAGTTGTTTATGATTCTCATACAATTAAGAGGGATTTTTTCCCAAATGATTAGCCATGTTCTGCCATCAATTCCTTGATAAACTAAATCACTCAGATGACTTATTTGCCCCCCCCCCCCCGTTGAGTGTCCTCCGTAGGTTGTAAACTTTCGAATTATTTCAGTTTCTCTAGAACGGCTAAGCCAATTCTATATCCAGATTATGATTTCTCTCTGGGTCAAAATTCGCCCATAAGGTGCCAATGGGTAGAGGGTATTCAGTGACCTTAAAGAGGTTTCTAGGTCAAAGATCAAGTACATTTTCTCTCCCATTGGTCCATTGCTCATACTACATCCTAAGAATCCCTTTGGTAAAGGGTGTGCAGTGACCTTGAGCCAAGCATAATTTCCATCGTCACTCGCGTGGCGCAGTGGTTAGAGCGTCTGCTCTAGAATTGCGGAGTAAGAAGCTGATCCTTGCGTCGCGGGTTCGATTCTAGTACGAGACGTGGAGACCGGTCCTTCGGATGAGACCGTGTAAACCGAGGTCCCGTGTCGCAATAGGTGTTGGCACGAAAAAGATCCCTCACTGCTCAAATACCCTAAGTGTCGAGTATAGGTCAAAATTTACAGCCCTCCACTGGCAAGTGGTGGCGTCTCCATATGAATGAAACATTCTCGAGAGGGACGTTAAAAAATAAACAAATGGTATGAAGAGACACACAATTTCGTATCACAATGTAATATTTCAAATATGAAATAGCAACTTTGCACATCATCTACGAAATTAAATCCCTCAATCCAATATTTTTTCCTCAAAACATTCACAGAAAAAAGTGTTAAATAAACTCTCTAAATAATTGAGAAATGTTTAAAGATGATATTAGATGCAAAGATAACTTAAGACCTGAGGGTATGTTACATGTATTATGTTACGTTGACACAAGGAAATTTTAGCAGGTTGAAGGTCTTAAGTAGTTTCCAGCTGGGAATGAATAATTCCAAAGGAAAATGTCCGAATAGAGACCCCTCCCTCTCCTAGCAGGCCAACTACTTGAAGAAATACTTCAAAGAATTCTGCCATATTGCTAAAAATGTACTGCAAATTCATGTTGGCATATAACTATACCCCCCTCCCGGGAAAACAAAGTTTTGGTGGGGTATATAGGAATCACCTTGTTCATCTGTCTGCCCGTGCAATCGTGTGCGGGCTATAACTGTAATAGAAGCTCACACTTGGTACAGAGATTACTTCTGAGCCGAGGGTGTGTCATGACCTTAACCTAAGGTCATTACAGCAAGTCCAAGGTCACTGGAAAGTATCACTAGAGGGTCATACTTGGTTCAGAGATTGCTTTTTCCCGAGAATGTGTTTTGACCTAAAATTAAGCCAAGGTCAGTTCAGCAAGTTCAAGGTTACTGGAAGAAAAAAAAATTGACTGGACTAATAATTTTTGTCCTGGCTATAACTTTGTAATGGGCAATCTTTAGAAGGATATACTTTGGTACAAAGATTGTCAACGACCTGAGGGTGTGTTATGACAATTGTCCCAATAACAAGGTCATTCCGGCAAGTTCAAGTTCACTGGTGTAAAATCGTATCTTTTTAAAAGTTTTGACAAACGTATCTAAAAATATCAGGTGTGTAAGTTCAAATAGGATATATTGATTCTACTAAATTGGGAAAAATGTTTTAAAGATAAACTCAAGGCCATAAATGTCTACAAACGGACACGGTAATTCCAATATACCCCCAAACTTTGTTAGCCGGGAGTGGGCTGGCCGGGATTAGTCTCGTCCACAGAAATCTGGGCTTCGTGTAAAATATGGAGGCTCCAAAATGGAGTATCAGAAAGTGCAAGGGGTGGCGCCTCTTGAATCAGATGATGCAAGAGGTGTGATATCTTGTTTCAATTTTAGCACCGGCTTATTAGATCTGTCATCTCAATTTCTAATTTTTGGTGAGAACTTGCTAGTGTGTCACATTTTCCAAACAATTAAAAGATAATTCCTTTGAAGTTGACTGAATAAATCCATTTATCCAGAACCTTGATTTTGTGTAGACCATTTGACAATATCTTATGAAATATGTTATAGTGAGAAACAGGAGACAGTGAAACAATTGATGACCTTCACATGTCAGCAAGGGGAACAGTTTTGATTTAAATTTTTAAGATAACGGAGAAACAGAAACAGCATCTTATCATTTGGTGCATCGTTGTCATTTTTCCCTCATAGAATGAGAAACGATAGAGAGACACCAATATCAGATTCAGCCATAAAAATGACCCTTAGATATCAAAAATGGGGGCTTACATCTTGTGCTTTTGATTAATTCTTGTTAGATAACAGATACTGAGTGCTTCAGAAACATTTAAACTAAGGTTTAGATTTCTGTCCTGCTATCCCATGTTAGCAAATGAAGTTTTGACAGATTAATTACAATTAGGTTTTAGAATCTTAAACTGAGTGACAGATAAAATAGGCAAATGTGTTAAAATTGACATAAGAGGCTCCACCCCTTGCAATATGTGACACTCCATTTTGGAGCCCTCATCCTCCGCCTTTTACACCAAGCCAGAAATCTGAACATATTTCTTTTAAAATGTTCACCTTTCTTTATTTCTAAAACTAATTCCTACAATGTAAACCCTTATTATCTTTCTCTCGCTCTATTACATTTTTGTCACATTACAGTAAATACTTAATGTCTTTACAGACACATGGTCGATTTGTCCTGTATCTGATCATATACTAGTATTTGTATTTCCTTCCTGTCATTTTCCCACGGACTGATTCAAGCAAAATATAGAAATCCTGTCGCTTATCGCTATGTTACTCTTCACCAGTCTAAAAAATTAATCCGATAGCCATTTAGGAATTCTCTGTACAAGGTTTTAATTTCTAGCGATATATATCAAAAGATCCAGTAGATCTTACTTTGAGCGGAATCTACGAATTTGTCCATGATAAAGCTGCAATATGAGACAGTCATTAGCGAAATCACATTCATTCAAGTAGGCCAAAGATATTGTCTGGTCGTTGAGCTCTTGTCGAAGGCCTTTCATAAAGCAATGTAAAAAACAAATACATGTTCATTTCCAGCTCTTAGCTTAATAAGAAAGCAAGACATTTAAGACTGATGACGAGATTTATCATCAAATGTCATTCAACAGAAATACATTGTATAAAATGATGGAATGTTATATCGTTAATTCAAATAATTCTCTACTGTGATAAAACAGTTAGGTGTTTGTGCATTAAAATTGAACACATATTTACATGTAATTAACTGAATGCTGATTTCCACGTAAGTTTTTGTATGTGATTATGTACAGTATACATACAAGTCTTTCCAATTTAGTTATTGCAACCTATCTATTAATCATTATGCACATGTAAAATCAAATTTAGAATTGCCAGAATGTCTTATAATGAACTTTCTTTAAAACATCTTTTTTTGAATTTCATTCTAATACTTTGCTCATTAAGAAATATTTTTTACATGTGCATTTCCGTGCATACAGTTAAATTCTAATGATACAATAAAATAAAGGAAGGATGGTGATGGGAATTTCACTTAAGTAAGTATTCCATTGATGTCTCAAAACACCAAACTTATTTTCCAAAAATAAACATTTTCTTTTTATTTCTGATACCACTGTCATACAATACATTAGCGGAAATGAAACGAGGGTCCAATTTTATTAGAAATCTAGTCGATATGTAACTGAGCGTTAAGATAATTCTGTTTCTTATCAAATTGCGTGTCGAAAGGACACGTCCTTTTAATGCTCTATTACGCTCTCGACATTAAGTTTATCGAGAAAAGCTGTTCATTATCTCTCAATCAGAATATGTATTTTGGTCTTCTCAAATGTGTTTAATCGCGTGCCGACAATACAATAATGACAGTCCTATACAACTCATCAACAATTCCAACAAATAAACGTGTGATGATGTGCCGATAATCATTACACTTCAAAAAGAAAAGTCTTGATACAGCTAAAACATCGAAATGACGTATTTCTAATTAATTTATATTTATGTAAGCAAATGAAATTAAAATACGTCGAAGGGACGGCATTATTCTATTACCAACTATTTGTGTTTTAATAGATTGATATCACTTTAAAAGAAAAAGGGGAAGAAGGAAACGATTCCTTCGCAATGATTAAAAACAATTCTTTTAGCAGATGATGAAAAAAATTCTGAAATGGGATGAAAATAATTATTTCAATTGTGGCCAAATTCAAGGCTTACAATAACATTGTTCAAAAGTTTGTTCCGCATAATTTTTCGGCCTTGTAAATGATATTGCCTTGTACGAATAACATGCTTAATAAACAAAATATGGTAAAATATATCTTCCTCCAATACGTTCTGATATGTCATTCTTTCTCTTCATCAACGTTATGTAAATAAAACAATTCAATGGTCGAAGGCTCCTTGTGAATATTCGGCTATTTGAAATTTTCCTGCTCGCTTGCTGTATTTGGGGTCAAAGTGTATAAACCCATTCGGTTTAATCGGTCTTTAAACCACCCAATCCATCTCCGAGCCTCTTTCCGGAATGCAGTTGTAAACATACCTGTAAAACAAACCATCTTCGAGTTCAATTATATCAACTCACTCAATTTTACAAAGATATTGACAAGTTGTTTTCAGTCATTGCTTGGAACCAGAAGTCTCGTACATGTATGAGACTGTAACTTGTCTGCTTTGAACTCAACGTTTATATTTTTCTCTGAAGATTGGCAAAGTTTTTTCCCTAAAATCATATAATAAGGAGCAACATTTTCACAGATTTTTTTTGTACTTAGAAATATTTGTGTTTTATTACAATTTATAGCTCACAGCAAATCAAAACAGAAGTAGGTAAACAGAATATTGTTGTGTATATCACTACTAAGTTTTACACAGAAATTCTAATAAAAATGCACACATTTTGAAATGATTTCTATTTCAAGTGACAATACAGTCAAAAGTATGACTGAAATACCAGGCACTCCATTAATCAATCAGAATATCGTCCACCGATATAAGGTGATGTTGATTGATTTTGTACTCGGCTTTTTAGTGGTTATATTGAATTTTTTTAGCAAAATTTAAAAAGAGAGGTCGATAATCATCATGTAGTTTGGTTATTCGAAAGAAAATGGGAAAAAAATTGCAAAGAGAGAAGCATTTTGAACGAATTTCACAAATTCAATTTGAGTTTACATTTATGGCTCCATTAACCAAAATTAAATTTGCTATAGAAAAATATGTTCGTGATGCCATCTACTTTCTGTACAAAGTTTTATTGATATCAGGCCAAATATGAAAAAGATTGTAAAAGAAATTGTGTCCATGTCGCTGAAATCCAAGCTCTGTATTCAGAATTATGCATATTTGGTGTAAACAACTTGTGTACCAAGTATTTCTAATAAGAAAGTAGTACTTTGAATGATTGTTTCATACAGACATCGAAACAAAGGACTCTATCGACCAGTAATAAGATCGTGTTCTGCTATATAACAGATAAAGCCAAGCAGTCGATTTGATTTATTTAATGACCTCTGATAGATAAGATTGGATATTAAGATAATTATTATGTAAAGTCAGGCTTTACAAATAGAAACATTAGCTCTGAAAAGTTATTTTCTCACTACATCATACATCTTACGTTACATGAAAAATAAAGCCATACTAACTGCTAATGTTTGATTTAAATTGGAAAAGCAGCAAGAAGCAACACTTCTAAGAGATTCTGTTTGAGATTCCCAAAGACTTGCATATTTATTAATTTTACGTTCTTGATTAAAAACAGTTTTTGCATATCTACAGAATTGTTTTCTTAATTTAGATAAAGCCATCTGAGTGAGGTGGACATTGCTATAAATCTTATTTGATACTTGCCACTATCAATATTTAATGATAAGTTAAATATCATTTATAGTAATAGGAATTTGTTCAGTTAATCTTTAACATGTTATTAAAGTGCCCGTTTCTATTTCATTTCTTGCCTTCAAAGTCTAGTTAATGGAGGTAGGCTTCTACCTCATAAACTTTAAATTTCAAAGAAGGTTTCACAAATCATGCATATTGAATGAAATTTTAGCCTGTAGGTTTTAGACACATGCAGTTTGACACTGACTTTTAAAGCAATTTTGATGGAAAACCGCTTAAAAAGACATCATAACCTATGGTAAAACTGATTCTGACGAAGTATATATCGATCCCAGAGAACAACTGAACTATAATGATTGTTTTCTTTTTACTTAGTCTTTGATTTTATTCTTTCCTAGTTACTTTGTCCGATTTGCGTTTTATTGTCTTGTAATTACTGAAAGTCATTTACTTGCCATACTTTTAGTTTAATCATGTCACAGTTTCGTGCACTGTCAAAGAAAATGAATATCTTTTCTACTTACCATAAACAATGGGATCAAGACACGCACTGGACACGGCAAAGATGAAAAGGCCTCTTTGAACTTTGGTATCAATATTTTTAGCTGATTCTCTGTAAGAAGCAACCAAAAAAAAAAATCAAATCAGAACGAAAAAATAGAAAGCTTTTTTTTCTACATTTACAATGTCAGTCTTCATTTTCTTCAATTACTAGATGAATATTTGTTGGCATGGATGAGCAAGAGAGGAGGGAAGAGAAAAATTCAACAATCAATAAAATCCTTTAAAGAAAAAAAAAAAGAAGACATGAATCGGAAACATTTTGTGATATCACTGCCTATATATTCAAACTAACAAAATCATATCGCAGAGAATAAAATAAACACTTCCATGTAATTATGAACATAATGCCACAAAAAACAGGCATATTTATCAACAATTCACAAGTTCTTTTAAATATTTCTTAAGTAACATATCTTGTTTGCAAGTTTTATTACTTTGGTGCATCATTCTGGAACACACATACAATAAAAAAGAATATGGCATATTGGTTGGCAAGTGAATTTACTATCGTTCTTTTCACGAAGAATTTGTATCTATACTTCTCATGCATCATTTTGCATATTGCCAGATCAACATCTTTCTAAGAAACAGAACCGAAAAAAACAATATTCATCAATTAAATCTGTCTGATGTAGGTTGTATAACTCTGAAACGAAATCCTACCAGACAAGTGCATTCTGACTTGAAAACTACTCCCTATTATACTTTGTACATCCATAGCTGTCAATATATATCTCACTATTCTAATTATGCAAACAGTTACAGTGATGTCTGTAATTTCGAACATTTCTGACTTTAAATTGAAAATATTGTTGAGTATAAAATGATGCTATTGCTCTCGAGTCTAAAGTTGGAATGGTTTATTGTTTTAGGTCGTTAATGAATATTCGTATGCATATCGAAAGTATCCTTTGCTGAGATATATATTAAAAGAATAGTAGTCGTCTTGCACCAGGTGTTTAATTTTTTTCTTTATTTCAAACGTTATATACAATTATACATATTGTTTCATTCCTATTTTAAAATAACTGTGGTTGACCACTATATATTTTTAAACAACATTTTTTATACTCACTTGTCGATCCAAAACCAGGACACCATGAGAAAATATGGAGTCCAACACAGGACGAAAACCGTCACTGAAAATAAAAATGACTCGTGAGAATAATAAAATTGAGTAACCATTGCATTTTATGCAAAATTTGCTCATTAGTCAAATGTGCATTGAATCTTATAAGGTCTTAAAATTTTAGTGTGTTTCTCCAAGCTATTGAGAGATCGAGATATGTATTGAAGTTAATCAATGCCGTTATAATGAAATTCATCCGTTATCAGCATATTGCATACTTAATACATTGAACTGATTTTCGAAATCATTTTTAACATACAGATCCTTTAACATAGCTTATTCTAAGATTGACTTCTAATTTCCTCTAAGAATCCAATACAAAACTTCAGGTATATAAGACTTCAGAAATATGTCAGCTGTTGCCGTACGTGGGTATTTTACAGTAATAAAACAAAATTAAAAAACTATACGTTATCAGCGGGTCATAAATCTATAAGCCTGTTAAATATATACCAAAAAATTGTAGAATTAACACACTTAATATTCCTTTTATGTTTCTTTGCAATCCGTACCATCTCCCTAAAATTACGTGATATTTATGAGAGGAAAACATTATCGATACGATTTTTAATGATTTCTCTGTCTGACTTGCCAAGATCTAATCAAGGAAACACAATTTATAGAACGGAATTTAATATTAAAAATACAACAGATGTCTTTGCCCTATATTTTATGATATCTATAATTGCAAATAATCTTAACCCAGAACACGAGCCAGACACTCCTTCTGGAATATTTAACAAAGATTACTGTCTAAGTCATGCGCTAGATAGAAATAATCTACATGTAGTGACGAAAAATCGATTTTTTTAGCATAGGATAGAAACAAATTAGAAAATCAATTAATTTGCAGTGCACGAAGTTGTTAGTATTTATACCTTTTGTTAGCGATATACATTGTTGTTACAATGTTGAAGAAAAAAGCTTTCCTAAAACTAAAACAAAAGGATGTTTAAATCAAGTAAACGATTAGGAATGCAGCTTTAGGTTACAAGTATTTTAATCGTATATTAACTTATGCCCGCGTGGCGCAGTGGTTAAAGCGTCTGCCCTAGAGTAGCGGTGTAAGGAGTTGATCCTTACATCGCGGTTTCGAATCCACTGCGGGATGTTGATACCGGTCCTTCGGATGAAACCGTATAAACCGAGGTCCCGTGTCGCAGTAGGTGTTGGCACGAAAAAGATCCCTCATGACTCAATGGCCCTGCGTGCTGAGCATTTGCAGCCCTCCACCGGCAGGTGCTGGCGTCTCCGTTTGAGTGAAAAATTCAAGAGGGACGTTAAACAACAAACAAACAAAAAAACTTATCTTTCTTTCTCAATCAGGTATTTATATTAATAACTCGGGTATTTTTAATTGGAATATAATTATCAAACTATTCGAATTTGTTTCCTAATTAATACGTGATATCTAAATTATTTTTAAGAGGAATATACACTGTAATTATCAAGTGTTCGAACTTGTTTCCTTCCTAACTACATGTAATAACGCTAACATGCCCTTGGCTTAATGATATTTGTCACATTAGATGAATTTAAGAATAATACACAATAAAATAAATACTGATGAGTATTATATAGGCGAAGTTACATGTCAGAAATATCCCATATTGTACATTGATAATCATGTTTTGTTCATCTTATCGGTGATCGATCTCGATTTTTAGACAGCCAGTAAAGAAAAGGGTATAATCGATAACCAGGCTTAGACAATCGGACGCTTTTGCGCTAATTAATCTACTTATGGACCCCACGATCACAAAACGGGGACATTTTAGTGGTTTTTAATGATAACTCAATAAAACAATGAAAATCAACTGCCATTGGGGTTTCTGATCTAAAAGTTTTCTGATACTGGTGCTACAAAGCCCAAAATATGAACTGATAAAAGTCGTATTAAGAGAAGTATTCCTTCTTAATAAATTGATTGGGGAGCGAATCTTCTGACTTGTTTACTCCTTAGATTTTTAAAGTAAGGTATGGCACATAATGTGCAGAACAGCTATGAACGAATTAACTTACCACTACATATTAAAGTGATTTTATTTTTTTTTCGAAGCACGGATTAAAGAAAAAAAATTTCTAAAAAGAAAATACTGGAAATATAGAAAACATGCGTTTATATGTTTGCATCTCAAAGTAAAAGCAATTTTCCGAAGAAAAAGCTCTTTAGTTCATGTCATAAAGAATTAGCAGGATGCTGCTAATAATTTAGGAGGCGTAATTTGTAAGGTATCTTACTGGATTGCCCGCATCCCGCCCCCCATTACAAATATATATATTATGTGTGTGTGTTATAATGGAACTTCCTTATACAGATTCAGCATGTTAATAAACATGCGTGTCTTGAATAAATTAAAGAAGACGATTCAAAAAGGAAAAATTGAAAGCAGGAGGATTAGATTTCAAACATGCAGTCTCGGTTCTCGTCTTTCTATTTTTTTTAAAAATATCATTCATTAACTAATATGCTATGCTTAAGATACGAGGTTTTGTTGGATAAAATTCTTGAAAGTTTTGCCCAGGCTGCGGAAAAAATCATATAAAACGTACGCACAGAAAATGGATAATTTTAAAAATAATGTACTCATTTCCTGGCATTATTGTTCGCTGATTACCCATCAAACCTATTGATTTCGCTTTCTAAACTTTCTGTAGTTATCTTCCGTGAGAATAGACAGGGCATTACAGATGTGATTACTGTCATTTGATGCTCTACATGATCAACCTATTCAAGCGTATTTCGAGATATGTATTGAATGTAAACCGGAAAATTCTTTCTGCAAGTATCTGAGGGAAGTAAACATATTTTAAAAATGTCAAAGAATTGGATGCAAACTACGTAATCTTATTGGAAGCATACTCTTAGATGAAGCAGTGCATTGACCATTATACCCTCAGTCTGTCCTTTATATTGTATTTTACTCTTGCATATATTTACAATTTCAGTCAGTTCAGATGTTTTGCATTTAGTATTTGTGAACGACTTGCCAATGAAACAATACCAGTTCAAACATTTGTCAAAAACATACAAGTGTATTTATACAGTATTATTTTATCATAGAGTTTTGTTCAAATTTTTCAGTCATCTCCACACTTCCGAATGATAATACAGGAATACTAAAGCAAACTATAAACTTCGTAAAATATTACAAAAAATTTTGGGCGGAGGAAAGTGTTAACGCCTTAATGCATTATGATAGCGAACAATTACTTTCGTTGAACGTATTTTGAATGAAATATAAACCAATATTGTAAAGAAGAGGCCACATGGGCCACATTGCTCACCTGAGCACACTGGTTAGGAAGAAGCAGAAATCAGTATTGAACGAGGGGGGGGGGGGGGGGCTTAAATTTACACTACCTCAGGATGCTTCCATATCAATATTACTAATCATTGCATTGCTGTTCTTAAACAGAAGGATTTTAAAGATATTTTCCCCATGTATTCCTATGTAAAACTGATCGCTCATTCAGGCCCCAGCCTATCCACCCTAAATTTGAACAAATTTGAATTTACACCACATAAGGATGCTTCTATTATAATATAATTAATCATGGCTTTACTGTTCTTGAGCAGAAGAATCTTCTTCAGATTTACTACACCCAGAACTTACATCAATTCCCTTGGATACTTGCCACTGGTGTTTATGACTTTGGACTTTTGAGCTTGAATATTGTTCGTTATCTCCATATATTTCATTTTATACTTTTATTTTGCTCTTACCAATAGCTTTTTTATTGCTGATTCAACGTCCTCTGTAAGCTTCTGAATGTCTGATTTTGCCAAAGTTTCGCCTAATATACCCTTTGGTTTGGCTAGTCCATTCCAGGGGTTGTCAGGTCATTCCTTGAAGTCTTCAATGCGTTTTACTCAAATACCCCTTAACCAGTACACCTATATATTCCTTTGTAAAACTTTGACCCACTGTTTTGGCCCCCGCCCTACCCCTGGGGGTTATGATTTGAACAAACTTGAATCTACACTATCTGAGGATACTTCTATATTAATATGACGAATAATTGCAGAGCTGCTCTTGAGAAAGAGATTTTTAACGATATTTCCTATATATTCTTATGGTAAACTTCGCCGCCTCGGGAAATAGTTTCCTCCCTTGGGGAACCATGACCTCCTGTTGTGGCCCTGCCCTACCTCCAGGGTCATGAATGGAACAAACTTAAATATACATTAGATACTTCTATTATAATATGACTAATCATGGCTTGCTGTTCTCGAGAAGATTTTTAAAAACATATGTAAAACTTCGACCCCCTCTTATGGCCCCGCCCAACCCCAGGGGTCATAATATGAACAAACTTGAATCTTCAGTAGCTTTCACTTGTAATGAAGCTTTCACATAAGTTTCATCTTTTCTTGTCCAGTGGTTCTTGAAATGGAGATTTTTAAAAGATGCCACCAAATTTTCACGAATTCTTAATTATCTCCCCTTGGAAGAGGGCGTGGCACTTCCTGTGAACAAACTTAAATTCCCTTCACCCGAGGATGCTTTATGGCTAGTTTGGTTGAAATTGATCCAGTGGTTCTTGAGAAGAAGTCGAAGGTTAAGAAAACGACGGAGAACAGACGGACGCCGGACACTCTTTGATCAGAAAAGCTCATTTGAGCATTCGGCTAAAGTGAATTAAAAAGGAGCTTTAAATAAATCGAAAGACGGTCAAGAAATATAACCGATTCAAAACCTAATGATCTTCAATGTAAAACCAACAAACTTTAACTGAATAATGGGTATCGGTATGTAATTATCATAAGTGTACCGGGGAATGCTAAAATTTACTTAGGGTTGACGCAAAAGTTTTCACACACTTAGTTTATGTACCATGTAATTATATATTTTCACAATACACTTGACTTTATACAAGTAATATTCTACCAGCAGGCCAAGAATTGTACAATTTATGATCTACACAAACTTAAGCCTTCACACAAGTTCCTTGTTTTGTCCAGTGATTCTTTGGAAAAGAACTAATGAAAAATAAATTACATCTATTTCAATGTCAAAACTTTGATACCCTATTGTGGTCCCTACCATGATTTAAATAATTTAGACTCTACACTACCTCAGCAACCCTTCACTTAAGTTTCATCTTTTCCGGTCAAATAGCTTTTGAGATTTTTTTGAAAAGATTTTTCCTAATTACATATTTTTATGTAAAACTTTTATCCCCTTTTGTGGCAAAAGTGCCTCTGTGGATAATGTTTTAGATTCTACACAACCTTAAAAAACTGTTCATCTTTTATGGCCTTGTTCTTGAGAAATATTTTTAATGACCCACTAAAGTTTTTGCCTTATATTAATTATCTCCGCTTATAATACGACTTGACCCTTCAATTGAACAATATAGAATTTCCTTTTACACAAGAGTACTTTGTACCAACTTTGGTTAAAATTGGCCCAGTGATTGTTGAGAAGGAATGTTTACATCGGACAGCTTGACGGACGCCGGGCACTGGGTGATCAGAAAAGCTCACCTAACCTTTCAGTTCAGGTGAGCTTAACTGAATTTTAAATTCAAACAAATTTAATAAACAAAATTGATAAGCCCCTCATCGTTGACGCTTCTTCGGAGACAAATAGTTTTGAGGAGTATGCAACTACTTATGAACTTTCTCACTCCATTCATTTTCTTTAAAGTGTCATCTTACCTATAACCAGTGTCATTTTTAATGTTCTGATTCGGGCCTTCCCGATGATTCCAGCCCGAGTACATGATATGAGGCCACTTCTGGAAAGCGGGTATGTGTGTGACCGATGTGTATAAAGGCCAAACTCGCGTCGTTCCTCTGCAAATATGAAAACATACAAATGTCTGAATTATAAACTGTCGATCATTTACTCAAATTCTAATATCACTACCTATTGTGAGGGCTATATCATGACTTTGTCAATAATAACACGTTGCTCAATTGAAAAGTTCAACGTATAATTACAGTAATACAGTAAAACTTTGATACTTCGAAGATGGCGGAAATCGAATATATACATATACATGTATATAACAGTCGAAACAGCCAACTCACTTTGACAATTCTCTATACTCAACACATCGATATTCGAGACAAAAATAAATTCAGCTCATTCAGTACATGTATTTCATCGTTCAGTTTTAAATATACCAGCACAGAACAAACTCAGAAACATTATAATTACATAGCAAAACTGCTAACATGCACACTTTAATACAAGGTTGATACATATATAACTGTAGGTAATTATTTACTCTTGATAATTAAAATGCTATTTCGGTTGATACCCGGACCGTTGTACAATTAATCATTCTAAACTAATATATGTAAATGATCGGATTTCCTATTTTTAGGACGAAATTAAACCCTTAATTCAGTATTTAATTTCTAGAATTTTTATCGTACATGCAAGATTATTAATGAGAAAAATATGCGAACAATCTGCTTTATTTTGAGCAAATATTTTTGCGCATGCTTTTATTACTCACTAAATACAAATAGTGTAATGGTATTACTGTTTCTTATGCGTATGCATTGACGAGGTGTAATTATTGCAATTAAATTTACCCATCCATTAAGGACAACCGATACAATATTTCCCCCAAGAATTCGTGATTGAAATATTGCTACTTTAACAAGTTTTCTCACAAAAGATTGTGGTACATTACCAGGCACTTGTGCAAATTTCAGAGGATGGTATTTACTATATAATCATATTGTTGCTGATACAATATTTTTTTTATTTATGTTTTAGACATTGTGAAAATAGTTTAGATATCAGAAGCTAATAATAATTATCAATATTTCTGGTATATAACGATTGATTGATTATTATTGTTTTACGCCGAGTCGGCAATATTTCAGCCGTACTTCGGCGGTATGAATTTAAATATTGTAGGAACGGTTTTGAAATTTTGGGGTTTCTCTGGCGGCCCCCAATGAGCCTACTCTTTTTCGAAAACCAGAGAAACGATCTTTAGCGTGCCAAGGGGGCTTCTATCCTTGACAAAGGGAGCTATTTAACGTCCCATCCGACGGACTTGAAATTTAAAAATAAATGAAAACGGTTAAATTGAAAATTACAAAAAAATACTAATAAAAATATATACATCAAATCTTGTTGCAAAAATCAGTTTCTTGTAAGCATTGTATAATTGTACAAGGATTAATGTTTGTAAAAAGATCAGTTATTCGATAAACGTATCGTCAAACCTTATAATGCTAATATTTCATGTTTGCAGTACTATTTGACATATACCTAAATACTATCCAATGTTAAATACTAACATTATATCAAGTGCCCAGCCTATATCTTGACCTTCCAGTGCCAAAAATAGAAAAAGGAACAGCATTTTCCTGTCTCAATACTTAGGCCTGTGACCTGACTGAAATTAGAATCTACGATTAACATTTTGCTTGAATGGGTTTTTGCAAGTTGACTGACCATCATACAAATAGGAGAGATGCCCCTATGTGGCCTATAATTATAGTTGATGACTTCTTAAATGTGGTATATGACACTGCAAAGTATATTAGCGCCTCATCAGCAGTGGGTGATGAAAATATGGATGGAATTTACAGGGCGAGTGTAATTCCATTGTAATGATGTAAATTAGGATTAATCACTATGGGGAAATGATAATGGCGTTAAAGAAAAAAATATTCTGTAAAATCAATCGCTTCGTGAAAAAAAAAAACTGTTGATACAAAATAACAAAACAATTTTCTAAAAAAAGCAAACTAATAGTTAAAAATTCTTACAAACAAAATACATCTACTAACATCGATGAATAGTATATAATCAAAAATGTATGTAGCATCAAATAGTATGTTGGCAATACATAAACTTCAAACAACTCTTTTAAAAATGTCAAAATGCGAAACCTAAAGTAAAATACAGGGGAAAACGTTAAGAAATACAATAGTTGTTTATTTACACACGACCTTGAGAAAATTTAAATATCTACTTTTATGTATCACAAGCCTCTGATACTCAAAGTTTTACTGCGAAAGCAAGCTTCAGGAAATATCTGTAGACTGTTTACCAGTCTTAAAGCATTTCCAGACACAAAAAGATGGATTGATCGCAGTTGTTTCGACTTAAAACGCTATAATAAATACCTGTAATTGTTACTGAATGTTTGACATATCTGTTGCATGGCAGAAAGGCATTTAAATTTTCATTTAAAGGTATTTAGATGAATTTTTGTATCAAATGTAAAATCTTGATAGTTAAAAAACCAAAGACAAGTTACCATGTATCCCCAACAAAAACGTATTGGACGAGCCAAAAGTATATGATTATGAAATTAAGTATGATCTGTTAAAAATTGAATTCATGTCTGAAATTTCAGGAAACGAAAGGAAATGTATGTATTTCACAACAATATATGAGAATGAGAACGTAAAATGTTAACGCCATACTAATTGATACTCCCCCCCCCCCCTTTTGATTACCGTCAAAATACATGTAAGGACAGGCGGAATAATATTACAGTTAGTAGTCTTTGAATTATTTAGGGAAATGATAAAGAGATATTAATAAACTAAATTAAGTCCTTGTACATTTGTTGCATAACTATTTATTTACCAGCATTTTTCTATCATGCACTCCTGAAGCTTACACTAAAATTCTTGAATAAAAATTCAAAATGTAGTTTTTCTGGAAATAATATCATTTGTATTTGAGTTTATTCTCATGTTGACGTCTCGACTTGAAAAAAATAACTGGGAGTTTTCTTTTGAAATCCTGTTAGAACTTCCATGCAACTTATTTCGCGAAATAACGTTCGAGCATCCTTCCTTCATCTGATCAATGTTTAATTAAGGACTTCCTAATGTAATTTTATGAGGAAATCAACTCGCCAAAATAAAGTTATACCCCATCAAAGATATACGCACAGTAGATGTAAGCAATAAATATGTTATTTCATTATACGATTAAACGTTCTTTTTGAAAAATTTATCGATGTGTAAACTCTTGACGTTTTACTCACAAACTAAATAAAAGTGCGAAGCACTTTTATGTTAAGTTTAGGAGTAAAATGTCAAGAGTTTACAAATCGATGAAATTTTCAAAAAGAACATTTAATTCTTATAATTCCAATTACGAAGTTTTAAAATTATTTCACTTTGAAGCCTCCATACAATCCGTTATCTCTATATACAGCGTAGGAATACTTTATGTTGCGATGTGGAAATGAAACGTAATCGAGATGAACATCGATAAAGTTTAATCTAAATTGTCAAAACATTCAATAAAACAAACTTAGAAAAACTCTCCGAATATTGTTTAAGTCAACGAATATCGTAAATACAAGAAGACTTCAGAAGAATTCGTCCTTGACCATGCCATGTTGACATAATGACAAACGCTCTAAAATGAAAGTAGCATACCGACGACACCCTTGATTTGCTCGGGACAGAATATAGAATGTAGAAATATGAATTTGATGTTAATAAGGCAAGAGTCTGAGGTACGTCTCTCTTTTCTATCACCTACCGAGAAGTGAGATGATTTGCTTAGCATTAGGAACGACAATAATATCCTATGAGAGATTTTAAATAAAAATTCACACTCGTGATCTGACAGTTACATAGACATAACATCCCTGTCTGTCGATCAGTCCTGTTTGTCATAAATTTTGTTTTTATTTAATTTAAAGTTTCTGAAATCGTTTAGCTAAAACAGACTAGAAGTAACGATTTGTGTAAAAAAAATTTACGATAATAGCTAGGCCAAGAAGGTAGTTCTGGTTGAGAGATTTATCGATGTGCAAGCTTTTTCTTGAATTTATTCTCGTCCAATCAAAATCATCAAATAAAATTAAGATTGGAATTATTTTATTATATTGGGGGGAGGGGCAATTTTGTTGCTGTGAATTCTTACTTCGTTCAACAACATGGCTTGCACATTTGCTTTCTTGATAAATGGTATCATTTATAAGTTGGTAAGTTCCAAGGTTACGGACTCTAAAATACAAAGATAAACATCCTCTTGTTTATTTTGAAAAACATACTTAACCCGTATAATTAATTTTTTCAAAGCCAATTACAGAGCAACGTTTTGCTATTTATCGATCTCGTGCATGTTCTTCCCTGAATCAAAGAATTAGAACATCGTAAGATGAAAACAGTACATGTAGTCAAATGGTCAATCACTTGATTGCTAAATTTAGAAAAAATCACCCTTGCATGACTCTACACACAAATACTTGTAGCTGTACAAAGCAGATTAAAAATATTTAGGGGAAACGATTGACCAATTAAACAATACCTTTTGATAGTTTTTACGAGGCTTGAATTTGTACATGTAATATGGTGTGCTTGCTAAACCAATGTAAATATTTAGTTGTTGAGTTGTTGTTGTTATAAGGGTTGTTAAAATTCTGAAAATACAATATATTTCCTTTGCTCTCCACCATTCTCATTCTTTCGAATTTCCTCTCCACATGTGTAAGCAAGTTTACAAGTTTATATTCCTCCCCCTACAATTAAAATTATTTACACTGTTTTCAAGAGTATGCTGTCGTTATGGAAGTTAAATTTATTCTGTGTTTACTTCATATCAAATAAAACATTTTATCAAAGGGCGATATCTAGACCGTCCCCCGAGTCATGAGTTTCTCGGGCAATGGATCTCATCTGGACTGACAAAATTGAACAGTTTGGTTAGGGCTATATAATCAATTTAAAATATGATACAGTGTATTAATGCAGCTTGTCTCATAGAAGTTCAGGAATATGAGCATCTAAGCCTTACCCTGCCGGGAGGCATCAATTTTACATTTTTGGGTCACCCGAGTCAATTAGATGTCAAATTGCTGTGTCCTTCAGCCATGCTTGACATTTTAACAATTCCAGCTTTTTTTCTAGAGCGACTGCGCCAATTCCAGCCAATTGTGGTATATAGCATCAATGGGTGAAGGAGAACAAAATTTATGGTCTCTACGTTCCTGGGGCTTGATATATATGACAAAACCATCAAAATTAGCACAATCTTAAAAAAAGGATTTTTATTCCAGGTCAGCAAACAAACAAAACTATTGTAATAAGCAATGAGCCCTCCATCAAAATTGTGAAATTCATGGTCTCTGGGTTCAGGTTCCTGGATGGAACTAATTAGTTGGTCATATATTGAAAATACATCATATAAAATCTTCTTACACCTAAACATTTAGCAGGCAAAGTGTTTGCATGATTATGATGGATACCAAACATTTTACCAAATTAAGTTCTGAAATTAATAACCCCTCCCTAGGGTGTGGCTTGATTGATCAAATATTGAACAGTCATATTACGTTTTTGAAATCTATAACTAACACTTAGGTCTCTACCACAATTGTAAAATTCATTGTGACTGGGCCCATGGCTGAGGTCCTAGAAAAGGGCTTGTTTAGTTAGATATATATCTTTTAAAAATTTATTAAATCTTCGAGAATCTTCTAGTTAGCAAACTGGTTATTTGTTAACTGTTACAGTAAATGGATGACCCTTCACCAAAATTGTAAAATTCATGTCTCCTGGGTCCTACTGAGCTACTATTACGGCCAAATGAGTAATGAAAGACAAAATTAATTTTCAGATGACCAACTTACGCCCACCTCGGGGTCTGAACCATGGACAAGGAGACCATAAATTTCTATAGAGGGCCTCGTGCTAATTATTATCAAGAAAGTATTTTGCATGACACAGTCTGTAAATAAATAATATTTTCAAATGTGTAATGTATTTCAATATATACTGAAATGCAAAAGAAACGCAACAAGCAGTAAACTACATACATGTATTTTTGATTTTTTTTTTATCTTAATTATGATTTTCAAAAATGAATACAGTAAGGTAAATCTCGATTTAAAAACATCAGAGATTTGATAAATATGTTGAATGATTTTCTTTTAATTTTAGAAAGTGACACATATCTGTCAAAACATCTCCCTCCCCACCATTCATTTACAGCGTACAAGACCGCCATGCGAAACAATTGCAGCTTGATTTCTACGATGCATTAGGTTTATCAATCTCGAGATCTGAGCGAAAGAAATATTCTTTGGCATTTTTAATTGCCCGTTTTTTTTTTCAGATGATGGGGTCGAATTTTCTCGAAACTAGCGCAGTTTATTAACCCTTTGACTTCCGGTCCACGGACTGTTTGTTTGTTTATTGTTTTTTAACGTCCCTCTCTCGCAATTTTCACTCATATGGAGCTAGGTAAAACATTGTGACATACAATTTAGTTACAGATATAACCACATCTGAGGTCAAGATTTATTTTATTATTAATCCAGTAAAAGACTGAGACAAAGGCTTGGACACAACGAACCTGTGACCTTTGCAGAAGGTCTCTACTAATTCCCTACGTTTCACAATTCCAACATTACAATGTTATGTCCCTATCAATGCATCTTAGCACAGAATCATAACACACTTCTTACAAAGTAATTGCCAGGACAGGATTGATTTGCACTTTTGAATAATTTTATTACAGTCAGATGACCTTGGCTTACGGTTATTACCACTCTCTACCATGTTGTGGTTCACTGTGCGTTTAAAACGGCATTTGCAATCGACAGGCGATAAGAAGTCATTTTTAGGAACTAGATCTGGGCCTCAGATGGTAGATAGCCGTCACGGTAGCTCAGTCGATAGAGCGCTCGCTCCGTGATCGGAAGGTCGTGTGTTCGAATCACGGCCGCGACTGACCTAAGTGGATAAAAAATAGGTAGCAACTGTTCCTTCGCCAGGCGCTCCGCACTTTGAAGTGAGAGTTGCGGGTCCTTTGGATGAGACCTAAAAAACCGAGGCCCTTTTATACTCTAGGCGTCAGCACCATAAAGAACCCTCACTGCTCAATGGCCCTTAGTGGCGAGTATAGGTCTAAATTTGATGCCCTTAAACGGTATATAGTAACGTCTCTATGAGTGAAAAAATTCTCGAACATGAATAACGTCCCGTAAAACAACATACAATCAAACAGATTGTAGATATTGATAAAAATTTAGTGTGAATCGACCTCCCCCGCCAATCCAAGATGGCGAGTGCCATCCCTTTAATTTGTAATTATACTTAAATTTTTAAGCACAACTTTCATAAGCAGTTTTTGATGAACACATTACACTGTATACGAAAGTGTATACCCTGTAAACGCCATCCTAAAATCGAGTCTTTTGGATAAAGAAAGAACCTTGCAGATCTAACACAAGGAGTATGAAGAACTAACCTTCGTCTCGTCTGGCTGTTTTAGACACTTTGTATAGAATGAGAGAATATGAAGTTGTGATGATGACCAGTGGTAACAGGTACACAGTGATTACGTTGAATAAGTTGTACGCTAGTTCGTGTTGCTCTGTCGGGAAAAAGTTGAACGTCACGCACTGCTCAAACCACGTGAATTTGGGATGACGCTCCACATGAAAAATGATACTCTGAAAAATAATAAAAGCTGACTGAGAAATTTATTACAGCAAAAGTGAGTTTGGTGGTGGTTATTGTTTTGACGAAAAAGGAAGACACAGTCTAGGTGGTCAATGACACTTGGTTTAACTGGATTTAAAAATATAAGCTGGTTGATGAATTCTTTGCTGCTTGATGTTTTATTGTAGAAGAAAGTTTTATGATGTTGCAAGTCTGCATGTCGATCTTGTGTTGTAAAAGGGTAGTGTTTTCTTTGAAATGACCGATTATTTGGTTCCAAATGATTTATTTATTTTGCTAAGTTACCATACGGGAATATCTTCATTTTTTTATTTTATAAGAATTTAACAAAAATGGATGATTTATGACAAACAACTCCTCTAGCAGAATATTTTATACAGTTCAACGCGTAACTTCAAGGGGCGAAAAGTTAACATGCAGAAGTAATGTAATAAAAAGGATAAAAAAATGTTTACTTTTAACCGATATCAAGGTAACGAGACCGAAAATGAACGAAAGAAATGAAATAAGATACATCTGCAACAACTTATCAATATTAACAGGAAGGTATTAATGACTCCAGGAAAATGTTTTCTCTGATAAAGATAAACCCCCGGATGATCGAAATAGTAAATATCAGTGTGTCATCTAGTTTAAAAACAGTACGAAAACTAAAATCAACAAGAATCAATGTCATATTTGGACCAGAAGTCCTAGTTCCTACAAAATTTGTGTATGTATTTAAAGACTGTGCAGAAATCTCTCCTGTCTTGTTTTCTAAATAGTTTTGTTGTTTGAAATGAAGATGAATAGTGTTCAAAAGTCCAAATAAACAATATAAATTGAGAGCAAAGCAATTACGGACCCCCGAAAACGTCAGATGCCATGGAGGGGTAAGCATTCTGTCGATCCGACCGAGCCTTTGTCTTGATTGGATGAATGAATAAATCTGTAGTCGCATCAGTATGGAAATAATGGCCTAACATTTTTTTTTTATTAGAAACGTCAGTCAACATTCGACCTAGCGACAGGTTGAATTTGCAAAAGATCATTATATCGACTATAAAACTTGCGAAATATTTAAACCAGATTGTTGATAACCTTGTAACATCAACGTATTTGGCAGTAGCCTATCTCGGTTAAGAAATTGATCGTTCACAGAATATGCACCTGTGTATCAAATCAACAGGGAGATAAAAACATCGTATGCAGGTGATAAATAACAACCGAGTAAGTTTTCGTTGAAAATTTCCCACACTTACGTTATTGTACAATGTAATGTTTCTAAACAGATTTCTAGACATATGTTAAAGTAAACGAGATTTTGCAGGTTGCTAAAAGATGAATTGGTGTGCTCCATATTTTAATTTAAAGCTCGGTATTTCAAAACTCTAAATCATAGGTTGTAAAATAAAAAAAAACAACAAAAAAAAAACAGGAATTTGAATGATACAACCACCAAGTTGATCTCCTAGTGGAAAATGCACTTGACTAACAAAGAAAGAAATTATATATGTTATAAAATAAGAAGATAGAATGGAAATGATCACATTTATAGAAATAAGACATTCAAAAGAAATGTTAGAAATAGTGACGAGAACACAAGAAAATTTACAAAAATAAGATAAAATGAAAATAAAGTTTACAAGCTATTCAAAAGATATTTTGAAATAGTGACGAGAACAAAGGAAAGATGTGTTAATGAATCACACTTCAGATTATTTAGGTCCCGCAGTATGCTTTAAGTTTTGCTACATCAAAATCTAGATCATATATAAAGGCAGCAATTGATGAATGTACAGCTAATATAAGAAACAGTAGTTTCGTAGGAAGCCTATCAGACACTGGTAATTAATGCTTCTTGCCAAGCTTCAGGCATTATTCACAATGACTTGAAACCAAGCGTAACTTGAAAATATGTACATTTTGTGACCGAGTGGTATTTTTTTTAAATCTGGAATAATTACTAACACTTCCCTCGGCTGGCATTCATTTCAAAGATGCAAGATAAAGCAATTTGATCAGAATTAGGAAAAATTCTGGAATACATGTTTTATATTACTGAATTCGTATTTATACATTGCTGATACTTCAAATTATTCAATTTTTCAGGCATTCTGAATGATTTTTTTTTTTTGGCGAAAAGTATAGGAATACAGATAGCAGACGTGTCTTTGAATTTTATTAAAATTTAAAAAGCCAGTGAATGAATTAATTGGGGATTTATTGGTAAAAGGCTTACGATCAAGTATGAAAATCCAAGTACATCAAACCGATTGATTGTTTTACGCCGAGTCGGCAGTATTCCAGCCATATTTCGGCAGTAAGACTTGAAAGATCTAGCAATTTTAGTTTGACAAGTGATCCTTTCCTCGTTACTCGTTGTGGCGTTTTACACTTCCGGTACAAATAAACATTTTTGAAAAGTAAGTCTTGGGAAGTGTTAATATGATCAAATTGGAAACACTTGTAAACATGGAGCATAAAAAACTTAAAACAATTATGGTTAGTTTCCCAACAAAGTTAGCTCACTAAGCCCAACTTTTGAAAGAAATTCTTAACAATAATAATTGTCATTTAAAAATAGAATCTATATTAAGAAAGCTTGTGTGTGTGTGTGGATTCTTTCTAATATGCAATTTGACAAAATAAATTAAAAAAAAATGGAAAAAAAAAAATTAAACAAGATGTGTTTGTGAAACACTGATGCCCCCCGTATGACAACTTATAGCAAAGGTTGAACTTTCTCAAATGCAAATTAAATATGTTGCTACCCAAAGTAAGGTCTCGTCTCGAGAAATATACCCGTGAAATATGAAAGCCCCAGCAGCAACCATTGAATAGATATGGAAATGGTTATAGTTTTTCAAAAGTAAGTCAAACATCAAGGTCAAAATTAATGGTGCCCAAGGAAAGGCCTTCTCACAAGAAATATACATGTGAAATATGAAAGCCGTAGCACAAATCGTTCAAAAGTTATGGCCAAGATTAAAGTTTTTCAAAAGTAGGTTAAACTCCAAGGTCAAGGCCAATGGAATACAATTGTTGGTATCCAAAGGAAGGTCTTGTCACAAGGATTACATATGTGAAGTATGATAGCCCTAGCGAGAATCATTTAAAAGTTATGGCCAAGGTTAAAGTTTTCCAAAAGTAGGTCAAACTCAAAGGGTGAAAGTTGTCGGTATCCAAAGGAAGCTCTTGTCACAAGGATTACATATGTGAAGTATGAAAGCCCTAGCACTAACCCGATTTTGCAGACAAACAGACAGAAGACGGACGGACAGAGCAAAAACTATATACCCCCGAATCTTCTAAAAACTTATGTACACCGACCTATTAGCTATAGGACAGCTTGAATGATTCCAGCACTATTAGATTTTACAAAACCACTCTTCAGTATCATTCCAAAGCTCTTACCAAATAAAATTCAACAAATAGATGCAATTGATTTAATGTCATTGTTAGAAAAACTGCATGACGGAGATTCTTTTATCCTAAGTATAAACAAAAAATAAATTTGTTGGAATTACATGTATGTAAAATTCGGAACCAATTAAGTTTTGATTTTTGTGTAACTTTCAATGGGAGTTTAAAATTGGCTCCATTCATTCAAAGCGACTAAATGTCCATCTTCATTGCATTTTAATACTGAAGTTCTTGTTGTTTTTTATAAACGAGAATGTTATGCATGGTTTTACATCCTTTTATATTGATATAGAACATCTTAATAGAACTAAGTATATTTTGTCCATGAAAACATTACATCATTCTGTTTTTTATTCAAAAATTTGTCTAAATTGTCTGTTTCAGACCAGAATATTCATAAAAAAAACTGTATACAATGAGTCAATTTTAGCTCCCATAAACGTAATTCAGATATGTAAAATTGTTTTGTCCATTTGTCTCATTTTTATACATTTAATGGCAGTGTATGACATCAGAAATGATGTTATTCTTGCGATTCAATCAAAACGAAACTTTATCTCATCAAGTCCTTTGTTTCAATATTAAGTTCATTAAAGTTGTCAAGGCTTTAAAAATTCTTATCAAAGTCAAACAAGTCGCTTTTGAAAACAAACCAACATTAAAATAATCTTTAGCTTAATACATGTATTTTCTTAAACGACTCTCAATGACTCCGGGGATTTTAAACTTCGATAGTCCGACAAAATATGAAAAAAAAAAAAAAAAAAAAAAAAAAAAAAACGCAGGATGTTTTTATTGAATCAATGACGTCAGTAAGTTGGATCGGTAGCTTACTATTAGTTTTCTTTAAAAAAAGTAAAATTAGATTAATAAAAATACCCATATTTTATTCCCTGTATTAAAAAAAAGAAGTTCATTATACACCATTTTCTTGAATTAACATTACTGTTTTCTAAATTCGTTAATGAATGAAAAATTATCATCTTTGTAATGTGCAAACAAAGTGCTTGCCTTTTTGTACTTGTTCTAAAACCTACAAAATTGGGGCTGTTTTCTCTGCAATACGGTATTTCATGAAAGAAAAAATACAGAGTGTAAAAGGGAATATAACACTTCTTTTTTAAAATTATCTGATTAATGTTTCCCTATCAAGAAATCTAACTTTATGGTTTACCTTCCTAATGGATAAGGTATAACACCTAAACGGAATAAATTATTTAAACCTTTGTCTTGGAGTCCATCTTCAGTGCATATTAAACGCAATAAAATTATAGGCATGGTAAAGCATTAATTAACATAAAAGCTTTACTTAGAATCCAGTTCTGTGAAATCTTTGATTTCTATCGTTGCTTCTATGAATTATATAAGTACACCCATTAAACCTGGAGTAGAGAAGCAGTATTCGATTGTATCAATCTGAATCTCGTTATTGGTCTAAGTTTGTTGGCAGTTTACCACGATCTTATATACATGTATATATATATATACACATATCTTCAAATGCCAAGACTTTGCTATCTAAAGGAAGTTGGATATAATACGTGTATTTTGACGATATGTTACATATCAATGGAATAGAATAATT